CAAGATGAATCCCTGGGAGATCTTTATATGCTCTTTGTGGTCTCTTTTAGTAGCAAATTCCACCCCTCCAGTTGGAAAACGGTGCCATGAGGTGGCAAAGAGGGAAGAGTCAGGCTCGTGGTCATCTTTTCACTCCAACACTTCACCACTTCCAAGAACTCAAACATTTAAAGGTTTAAAATTTGGTTTATATTCTATATGGCCACACATATAGATTTACAGAAACAACCAGCTAAGCATCAAAATCTGAAATAAAACCCCAATAAAATTACCTGTGATGGTGTGTGTGGAGTTAAGGGGAGCTGTGCTCATCATGTTAATCCCAAAAAGCAATATATAACCAATTCCTACAGCCACCAGGAGGTACACTGGCAAAGCAACTGCCCAGTACCTGAGGAAAAAGAGTTTTAAATTTACATATCATGATAACAAATGCCTAATGATGCAATAGTTTTCAGGTTGTTATTGCATCCAGCACAAACTGAGCCAGGAGGAAAAGAAATAACACCTCTGAATAAGCACCTTGGTCTCTCCCAAGATTATTCACTGCAAAGACACTGCAGCTACTCTGGTATAAACCACCACATAGATTCCTTACAGAAGGTGTTTATTTCTTAATTGTGGTCTCCAATTTACTATATTTTCATCAGGAAATTTCCTGAAAACAAAACATCACATTTATCATAAAAAAGTCAAATACTATTTATTTCATTGCCTATTATCTACATAAAAAAATGCTTTACAAAGATCACAGGCCTTTATCATGAGGGAAAAACTGATTAAATACAAGGCTGCTACTTAAAAAAAAAAAAAGCTTTTAAATTTTAAAATAATTAAGGGTGTCCCACAGTTACAAGGATTCAGGTTAAGAACTTACTTTTGAGGCCAGTATGTCAGTCCCAAGGAGAACAGCCAAGTCTCAGGAATATATGCCCAGATAAGATATAAAACTGCACAAGGGAATTAAAAAGCCATAATAGTTAAGACTGATGCTGTTTTAGACTTCCTAAGTTTCACTTTTACACCATTTTAAACCAAAATAGCCCTACTAAAACGTTGTATAACAAAATATAGACACCAAACCCACCCAGTAAAGGGGCAATGTTTTGCAGCTGGTTATATGGGATCATTTTTATATTTGCTTTCACATTTAACTTCTGATTTCCTGTGGAGACAGACAAGAATTTATTCTGAGTTAAACTGCAGAACAACAAAAAAAAATTAACAAATCCAAAACCTCAGTAAAAGGAGGCCAAAAGAATCTGAATGCAGATAAAAATAAAAGCAGAAAATGATCACACAGTGGGTCATTTGGCTGGAAAAAAAAAGCTGGTGGAATTGCAGGGCCTGGATGGAACTGTTGTGAAAAAAAAAAAATCACTGAAGGTACTTTCTGATCCTTGGCAAGTTCATCATTTTCACCTCAGCAAAACCAACACCCAGAAATGTTGCTCCAGAACAACAAAAAACTCGAGGGGAGCAGGACAAGGAGCCAAAAAAAAATAAGCCACAGGGGCTTCCTGTGAGGGGAACAGAAACCAACTCACTTCCATTTCCAGTTACTGCCTCGGGGTCAGAAACACTTGGAGGAGTGCTGTATTATTTAATGTTTCATTATTTGCCTCCAGGGCAATCTGCAGCACCTTTTCTTGTGCTGAAAAGCTGTTCTCAGCCTCACAAACCCTGGGCCTGTGTTGGCACCTCACGTCCCCAGTGAAATGCTAAAGAACCTGTCACAGCAGCAGAGAAATGCTGGCATAACCCAAATTAATTCCCATTGCTGTTGACCAAATTGATTTTTTCCCAGTATTTATTTATTTATTTTTATTTTATTTCAGTGGGGAAGGTGACACTACTACTATCTACAGTGGTTGCTGTATAGTGAAAAAGTATTCCAGTAAAAATACTGAGAATGCAGAGAATTTTTCAAATAATTTGACTCTCTAACACCATTAAAGATCCTGTGATATGGTTAAAGACAGATAAAACATGAGGAAATCATGAAAATCAATGACAGACCTTTGTAACACCTGACAGGTCTGGCAAGCAACACTCAGTGCTCCATCACCTTCCCAAGAGGTGCTAGAACACGAGTTTGATCCTTTTCAGGTGGTCTTATAGAATCATGGAATGCTTTGGGTTGGAAAGGACATTAAGGCTCATCCAGTGCCACCCCCTGCCATGAGCAGGGACATCTTCCACCAGCCCAGGTTGCTCCAACCTGGCCTGGGACACTTCCAGGGATCCAGGGGCAGCCACAGCTTCTCTGGGCAACCTGTGCCAGTCGGGAATAACGTCTGCCTCCTGAGCAAAGCAGCATTTTCGGGGGTATCAGTTCCCGGGATACTCACTGAAGCCAAACCACGATCCTAGAAAAAGGGCAAATCCATATATCGCCCTTTCTGGCAGCGGGGCCGGCGAGTTTTCAACCATCCCGGTGTCTTCCCTTTTCCCTTGGCGGGGAGGGCGGAGAGCAGCGTCAGGAAGCTGTTTAAGAGGCTTCCCGGGAAGTTCCTCTGGGAACGCGGGGGCGCGCCCAGGTACCCGCACCCCCGGGTCCGGGGAGATACTCCCTCCTGAACCCTGGATTAAGGGGATACTCCCTCCTGAACCCTGGATTAAGGGGATACTCCCTCCTGAGCCCCGGATGAAGGGGTACTCCCTCCTGAGCTCCGGGTGAAGGGGATACTCCCTCCCGCCTTCCCTTCTCCCTTCCTTCCTTCCTTCCTTCCCTCCCTCCCTC